CTTTCGGGTGGGTTTAAAATAATATTTTTTCGGCGTGTGTGCAAGGAAATTTGGACAAAAGTTCGATTTGAAAAATTCCCAAATGAAGTTTTAAAATTTCAGAGTGAGCACAAAAGAAGCTGCTCTTTCTTAAGCAAAAATCAGCGGTTATCCACCACTTGCAACTTAAAATAAGATTGTCAAATGTAAATATTTTCAACTTGTTTTTGCAAAAAATACACACGAAATGTGTATAAGTTGCTTATACATTAGTAAACAGAACATAAAAAATCTCATCACTGTGTATATAATAAGATGGGTTGCATGGCAAACAAAAAAATTGCTAAAATCCTGGACATTTCACTTGAAATGCTAACTTAAATGCACCTAGAAGACCGAACCCCCAAATGGTTTCAGGGACAAACACATCGATAGTATTGCCAAAGTGAATTATGTTTTGGTGCTAACTATGGCTTCGATATACAACATTAGCATTAATTTCTCCGTGACCAATACTTGGGGTTACAAAGACAATAACTCCCAGTGGAATGGTATGATGGGGGAACTCGTCCGAAGAGAGGCAGATATTGGAGGTAGCAGACCTTCAAGTATTTGTCTTAATTCAACCTCTTCTCCCGTTGCATTCTAGGAACATCCCTGTTTCTGCTGAAGGAACGCATTGATCTGATCGAGTACATTGCGATGATTTCTCCAACGCGCTCTAAATTTGTGTTTCGACAGCCCAAATTGTCTTATGTTACCAACGTTTACACCCTCCCGTTTGATAACCGAGTGTGGCTTTCCACGGTGGTTTTGGTTCTTATTATGCTCGTCGTCCTGTACTTTTTGAGGAAATGGGAGTTTGCTAAAATCAAGCAGCAGGTGCGTAAGTATTGTACTCCTCAATTTACTAGTGAAATATTAGGAACTTTTGCATAAAACTGCTTATCCCGATGTGGTGTTCATCACCATTGGAGCCGTTTGCCAGCAGGGCGCAGCCACTTTGCCCCATAGGTAGGTACCCATCTAATCCTCTTTAAATTTAATCCCATTTAATCCTCTTAGCGTTCCTGGACGAATCGCTACACTGTGGCTGTTCGTTTCCCTGATGTTCATCTACGTTTCCTACTCAGCAAATATAGTGGCCCTCCTCCAAACCTCCTCAAACAGCATCAGAACTCTGGAAGATCTGCTCAAGAGCCGCATTCCCATCGGAGTGGACGACACGATATTTAACCATTTTTTCTTCACGGTCAGTACTTAATACTCGAATCATAGAACCTAGGCGAAAGAGGCTCATTTCACTGGTTTACTCAGACTACTCAAGAGCCAACAAGGAGGGCGTTGTACGAGAAAAAGGTGGCGCCGCCCGGGAAACGCCCCAACTTTCTTTCCATTGAAGAAGGCGTGAGGAGAATGCGGCAAGGACTGTTTGCGTTCCACATGGAAACAGGGGCTGGATATAAAATAGTTGGTATGCTCTTCGGTCTGCGCTGATCTAAAACGTTTTTTAGTTTTATCAGGGCAAAGTTGAAGTTGGTCTTGCTCTTACAACTAATGGGGAACAAATGTAAAAACACTTCTTTATGATTCAGGGAAGTGCTGATGAATCTGGCCTGTAAGGAGGCCAAAAGTCTTGCACATTGCGACTCTTTTTCAAGTTTCAAAGGATCGAGAGAATCACAAGTTCTGCAATAGTTCTAGAATAAATTATTTGGTCCCTCTTTTGCTTAAGCCTGAATTTTAGCGTTTATTCAGCACCAAGTAGCAAATTTTGGAAATGCTACATTTGCAACCGACTTGCCGCGTTTCTTAAAGGATCGTTCAAACGTTTAACAATATTTTTTCGGACGAGTTGCTTTCAGCCCAAAAAAATAATTTCTTCCAGACACTTTAGATGGGGTTCATCATAAAAAATTTATATTTATGGCATGTCTTAAATTTAGGTAAAAAACCGTTGTTTTTTTCAAGGAGAAACATTTACTGAAGATGAGAAGTGTGGACTGCAAGAAATCCAGTTTCTGCAAGTGGTGGATCCATGGCTGGCCATTCAGAAGAATTCCTCTTATCAGGAACTACTGAAAATCGGGCATGTGGACTCTTGGTGTTTTTCTTTCGGAGAATGTTTTTAACGTTCTTTTGCAGTTTCCACCTTCTCAGAGAAACCGGAATCCAGCAAAGAGAGAACAATCTGATCTACACCAAGAAACCGAGCTGCTCATCCAAATCGTCTACATTTTTCAGTGTGGGTCTAGTCGACTGCTACCCAGCAGTGTTAATATTTGCGGAAGGTTTAGCTGCAGGACTGGCCCTTTTCCTTTTAGAGCTGTACATACACAAGAAGTTCTCCAACCAGTGAGGTTGAATCCATTTGTTCGCCACACCCCTAATACTGAGCATATTCAAGCATGCAATATGCAATAAAATGGAGCATTAATCCTCTCGAATTCGGTCCAATCGAGTCATTATCAACTGCGTCTTATAAAAACCTCCTTCAAAGGCCTAAAAACCCAGATACACAGGCTGATGATATAATCCCATCCAATATCCAGGCCACCAAGAAGCTAGAAATCTCTGATGACACTCTCCTAATTATTTCATCAGCCGAATTCGTTATCAGTTGGTGGTTTAAGGGGAAAAATGCAAAAATATCAGATAAGCGTGTCAAAGGTTCGTTTTAAGCAAAATAGGTTTATTGAGCAATAATACTATACGGAATTTGGAGAGATCCATAGGCCGTTTGCTTCCGATTCCGGTCAGTGAGGCCATCGGGTTTGACCTGACAATCTGGAAAAGTTTTGCTTGTAAACGACGCACTTTTGGTCGTCTGGGCCCAAAAAAACGCCCTAAAGGATCAAAAATGAAATTAAGTTTTGGATTTTTTAAAGGTTTTCCTTAGAGCTCTTATAGTTTTGGTAATAATTTATTCAAATTTCTACCGCATATTACCGATGATGGTCCTTAACTTTTCACATAATAAAAACGGGTTGAAAATGTACAGGGTGATTTTTTTGGCAGGTCAGACCAACTTTTACTGCTCAGAAAACTTTATGGCGCGGCACTGGCCGATTATTATCAAATTCGTGGAACCCACGTTCAATTTAGCAGCTTTTTAGTTTTCGGCATTTTTATCGTAGCTGCAACTACTGGCGAGTAATTTGGAAAAATCTGCGTACCTCGTTCTAAAACCAAAAAAGTACCTTTGTAAAATTTTCGGTAATTGTATGCTTATGGAAACTGCCTCTATCTCAGCAACTGCAGGCCGTATTTGATGCGACCGCCTCTAAAAAACAGCTCTTTAATAAACATCTGATTCGTGATCAATTTTCCAATTTACTGTAGGTTTTACACCCAAAAAGTGTTTTTAGGTACTTTTCCAAATTACTTGCCAACCGTTGTAGGTACGATAAAAATGCAAAGAACCAAACGTTCTCAAGTCGAGCGCGGAGTTTAAATATTTACAAATAACCGGTCAGTGGCGCACTATAATATAATATAATGTAATATGATTTTTGAACTGTGAAAGAGGGTTTTACCCCCGAAAAATTACCAGAACTTGTGAAGCAACATTGGGACTCCAATCAAGAAATTCGAATAAATTGTCAGAAAAACTCTAGCTGTGGGAAAACAACTATAAAAATCTCAAATTTTAGCCCCGTATATAAAAAACAAAGCGTTTTCCGATGTATGTTAAAGTAGCGGATTAAAAAATTGCATAAAATCTCTCAAACTCGAACACTAGCAATTTTTCAATTTAAATGCCCATGATTTGCATCCAAATATGCATCTGCTTCTTCGTACTTTCCTCCACTTACTCTCCACTTTGGCAAAACTGCATTATTGTATTAAGTAGTAGCATAAGAAGACAAATTGGACAACACTCATATATTTATTCTAAAGTCGTTTATAAAAATGCACTTAGCCTAATATAAATAGTAGAAGTTGAGCATTGGCAACTAATAAAAAATATATACAAAAATAATACTTTTTATAGCAACTTAACATTGAGAGTTAAACTCGAAAAGTGCCTTCTAGTAGCACAGAGCCATGAGGGTGATTGCGCCTACGCAAGTGACTTTTTTGGACTTCTCGGAAGCCTCCAAATGTTGAGCAGAGCCTGATTCTTCAATACCATTTTCGCTGAAAACGATCTCAAATTCGGACGATTTTTCTTTGGCGCTCGCCACTTGCAGGCCACTGGACGGTACCGCCACTTCGTAGAAGTTATTGTGCAAATCCCTGGACACTGGAGTGCTACAGCCGAGATGAACAACCATCAAACACATCGTCAAAATAATCACAACAGGTCTAGCCATTATGTCTTGTTTGCTTTCTTCACATGAAGAACTGATTACCGGACTTTCCATTGTCGTTTATAAACACACGAAAATACTATGTGGATTAAGAGGGGGCAGGAGTAGATTGATGAATTTTCTAATGACCCTCCGATAGATAATAATTAATAACCGATAACACGCGCGCTACTCATACAAAGTCTTTCGAATCTGTTCAGTTTCGGAGAATTCACCAAGACGATCAAGGGGAAATTTGAATTATGATGAAACTTAAGAGGGGAATTGCAGAATCATCCGGCTTCCTTGGAATCTAGAGAACTTATTTGGGATTTTTCGATTAATCCAAAGACAAACAACAACAACAAGACGCTTCAAGTGTCGGTCAAGATCCAGATGTATTTTCGGTCGATTTATCGACGGAAAAACTAATAATAAAGTATGAATGATTTAAGCACAAAAATTCCAAAAATGACTTGCTGGAAGGAATCTGAAAAAGTAATTACGTAATTAGTACGATTTATTTCAAGCTGGGAGCTTAATATGCGCTAAATCAACTCTCGATTAATAACGGTAAATTACGCTCAACCATTGAAGGAAATACATAGAAACACCGTAAATATATAAACTAAAGTGTTAAAAACATCGTTAAACTGAATCAAGTGAAGTGGAGAAGTTGAATTTTTAACAATTTTCAGTAGAGTGGCAAAACATCTTTTTGTTACTTTTATTAATGAACAATTATCGATTTATCTATAAATATGTTTTTAGTAACTCGCCTTTAATTGCTCTGTGTTTGCTGCATTTCTTCTCTTGCAAATTGTTGTTAGCATTTCTTTTGTTTTTACCTTGAAAATGTTCCGCCATCCAAACCATCGATTGCTAAGAATTGAATTGAAAGAATGACCTACAGAACACTGAAGTAGTAGAGCAAATATGTTGAACGCTCTCTTAACACCATGAAAGATTCATTTTCGCGCAAAAATCAAAATTTTACATGCGGGTTTTTTCAGCTCAATTGATTTCTTTCGACGTACGAAGATAACAAATGTGCATTTATTAAGTGTGTGGGTCAACAATAAGGAAGAAATCCTCGGCTAAAGATCGTGAACGCTCCAAAAACGCTTAAAATGAGTCGACAAAGTCTATTATTTCGGATCTAAAATTTGTAGAATGTTTTCAATTAGTTCGATGCATCCCTCGCGTCCGTAATCTGAAAATGATGTAAAATTTAAAACATTTTGAGAAAAAAAAGCCGCAATATAGATCTTACCGATGGCCCCGACATCGTGAGGCTTAGGGGCTAGAGCCCCTAAGCCCCCCCCCTAGATCCAGCGCTGGTAATAATCCGTCGCTATAGCGCAGCAAATTGTCACTGAAATGGCAAAATTCGACCTGGAAAAGCTCACAAACAGGGTCAAAAACATCTCCGTACTGAACCGTCTCTTTTTCACGAGTGCAGATCAGCATGTTAAGTTCAAAGCTCTGGTTGGATTCATCTATGGTTTCACTCTGGGCCTGGTTTTCCACAGATACGTTTTATCGGAGCTGAGTCTGGATGACAATATCTCCTTCTGGCTCACTCTCACTATTTGCCTCATGCTGGGGTAAGTAGACAGAAAATGAAGTGGGATCTGTAGCTTCCACCGGCTGTTCTAGCACGGGAATAGCGTCATCGTCCCAAATTCGTTGCATCACCTTGCTCTCATTCCCCAGCTTTGGAGGGAAAGTCGGTAGGAGCGTTCTTAAGGCCATGGTGATCACTTTCGTGATTGCAGGACCTGTGGAGAATATGTCGAAAAACAGCAAGGAGGTGGTGAGTTGCAGAGTTAAAAAAATCAGTTTCATAGCGAGTCAATATCTGTGAAATAATCGTGAGTATATTGAGAAAAAATGGGTTCCAATCGCGCTTTTTTGGGGCCTATCAATGTGACTCTGGGAATGTTTTTCGACTCTCCAAAGGCATCTGACTGTTGTTTCAGGTTCGAGTTTTCGCTTGCACAGCAACTCTAACTTACAACCTAACAAAAACGCGCTTCAGTTTGATGTTCAAACCATTTGCCGATGCAATATTCGGCATAAAAACCGAAATGCAAGAAGTGAAGGAGACTGTGAGGTAAAAACCTCAAAAACTCGCTTTTTACATTCTTTATTTACTTGGAGTTTTGCTTTTTCCAATCTGGCTTCACTTTGAACGTAAGTTCAATATCTTCTTAATTTATTATTTAGCAAAGACCGGCAGCTTTGAATGGTTTATTCAAACGGTGCGAAAATGGTAGTCCGCATAAATAAGTTCAACCGACCGCTTTATCTTTTATTGTAGATCCATTCGAGATGTGTCGGCTCCCATAACTGGCGAAATGGAAGACGAACAGGCAATGAAGAAGATCAAAGAAGAAAACGACTACTTGGACGAGTTGAGCAAGAGTGAAAAGCCGACCAACGCCACCAACAAAGGTGCTACACATTGATAACGAAGATCAATCGATGAAAGGTTCTGTGTAGGTGAAGCTGCAGAGGCGGCAGTTTACGAGAAGCAGTACTTGAAAAAAGTGGAAACGCGTTGCATGAACCAGTTCATCAAAGCTTCAATCAAGTGCAGAAACATGTTTTCGAGCGGCTACGACAAATGCTATGAAACAGTCACATGGATCGCTGCCTGGATCTTGTGCTGGCCAATGAAGCTGGACTTTGTGTGCAATATTGCAGAAGCTTTAGGCGGCGCTAGCAGGTATTAGTTTTTTTCACTAGCTGAGTTTCCTCATGCAGAGCGAAGCAAATGCGAATCCATGCATCAACTAGTCAGAGCACAGAAGAAGAAATAGAACTGTTGTTCCAAGACTTAAAGAAAACATGCAATGAAAAGGGAGACGATCAATATTATCCAGAGCCAATAAGATTAAATAAAGTATGAGGAACCAAAAGCCTTGTGGCCAAATAGAAGGCAACGATGGAAGACCGATAACATTGATATTTTCAACCGCATAAAAAGCAGTCAGACCTAGTGAGAACTTTTAAACAGAGAAACTATTTAATGAATTATTGAAGGAAACTGCGAATATAAAAGCAGACGCAGCAGGAAACCAAAATATTTGGTTAAAAGTGTACGATAATGAGAAAATAGTACATTTGCAGAATTGCTTGCTGCTACAGTAGATAAAGTGGAAAAGTGGACGAAAATGATGACTAACCTGCTAAGAAGATAATCCATACTCAGAAGAAGAACTCAGGAATCTGGTAGCATTCAATATTCAATGTTCTGAAGCTTCAAGCAAGTCGGCTTCATTCTCAAAACGTCCTTTTCCAGATGTGACCCATCGAAACACATCGACCCTGGATTTGGTGAAGGCTACACCTATTTGAAACATTCCAGATTCTCGCTCTCCCAAAACTTCAAGGATGTGAAGCTGCAATATAAAATTGGTAGGTGAAACTTCTTGGGTTTTGTCTGCTTTAGATTGACTGCGAGTTGTTTTGAAGGTAAAATCAAACAGTTGCGCGATCTTAGAGATGCCCGAGATACCTCAGTGGCCATACTTCAGCACGTCAAGTCGAAACAAGCGATTTTCAACAGTATCTTCAACATCATCAAGCGAGTGCTGGCGTTCGTTTTCCTGAAGATTATCCTCAATTGCCAGGAGTATGAGGAGAAGTATTTGAAAGATATTGAGTTTGACAACGTTTACATCACTAAGTAAGCTGCAGCGATCGTCATGATTGCTTGGGGATGTATCCAGCTGTTTCTAAGGTACTTTCGCAAAATTGACGCCCGCAGAAAGTCGCTGGAGAAGCGCACTCTACTACCACTGAAGAAAATCGAAAGAACCCAACTAGTGGATCCGCTCACGCTAAAACCGCTCAAAGCAGAGCGACAGCATATTTTAAGAGAATCCTTTCTATTGATTCTTGAAATGATCACAGCCAGCACTTTTATTCTGCTGGACTCTTTGTTCTTCGAGGCCCTCGATATAATACGACGCCACTCAAAAATCGACTACCTCACCACTGGGAAGCATGACTTAATGCTCCAGATCAAAGGCAAGTCCTGGTTGAAAATGGCGCCGGATAACCAAAAATAATTTTAGGTACTGGAATGATCGCAGCTTTGCTGCGCTCTCTGGTCAAAGGATTCAACATAAAGAAACGCATTAAAATCGAACGAAGCAATGAAGAGTGCTTGCCCCGGCCCACCTCCATGCCCAAATCGTACATCCTCAAAATATACGGGACGTATTTTAGCATATGGCTGATGATGTGGCTGCAAACTTACACTCAGAGAACCCGAAGGATGATTTGCGCGTATTTCTTCAGAAAACGCGAAAAGCGCCGAGTGCTTTTCCTGTACAATGARACCCTCAAAAGACGAATGGGATTGTTGAGGTGCCGCTCCAATGCCACTTTTGGCGKKTTTCTGAGATCGAACATTGCAGGCACATGAAGAAGAACCTGGATCGCAAAGCGCGCGCTCGACGGCTGGAGGAAAACTACAACGTWCTTCAAATTATGACTATCAAGTATCCGAAGGAGTTCAGTTGGTTGAAGTGGTTCAAGGCGGGAAGAAGGAAATGTTTGGTGTGTTGGTTWAATTTTTTTATGGGCTGCGAATAACGATGGGTTGCTTTTGGAGCTGTGTGAGGAAGTAGAGCCCAGAAAACAGAGCGACTTTATTGAGTGCCCGARTGAAGGTTGCCACTTCATCTACTGCCAAGAGTGCTGGAAGGATATGGGGGACAAATGTCTGGTCTGTGCGGTGGAAAGTGAAACTGAAGATGATTTCACTGATGAAAATGATGATGATTATGAGGAGTTTTAGTTTTTTGAGTAAATAGTGAGTATCCAAGCGTCGTGTTTCAGGAGTCTTGATATTTTCAGAGATGAGTTTTTTTATCCCGAGGAGCATCGGGGGGTTTTCGCAGAACTACTGGCTCGATCTTGCATTTTTTAATTGATGTATTCCAGACTGTTGGGGATTCGAATTATTTCTGCCGATAAATAAAACACCCTCGAGTAAATACTAAATAATATTTTATTTACCTACACTTTATGAATGCAACATATTACATAGTTTTCACATAAAAGGAGCCAGTCCAAATACAATCCATATAAATACTGAGTATCAATCCAGTTTATTGAGTTATAAGGTATCTCGGTATCACTCTGAATCTGTGAGGAATTTGCATGCACAACCTTGTTCCCGCTCAAACATAGTCAACTTATAGTTAAGCTGAAAAGAGCAAATGAGAGCGAATAATACTAAAGTGTTTCGTACAACCTCTTGTAATCATAGTCACAACCAATATTTCGACAGCAATAGATTATTTAGGAGTATGTGTACAGGGTGCTCGAAAACAACCATAGGATTTGTAATTTTTGAGTATCAAAATAATGATTAATCAAATGAGTACTTGATGTAATCATTATCAGAAAGTGGTGCCAACTAAACTTAGTTGTTTAGTAGAGTTTTTATTAATAAGCTCAAGAACTACTCAAAGGGTGTCTGCATCCAGGTTGAAAACATGATTTAACTTAATTTGTCTGGTCCAAAAGTGGATGGACTTTGAGATGCAACTTAGATTAATTCCTTTATCCAAAGAGTTTGGGTTTTGCGGGCCTCTAATTGAGACTGGTGAGTTTTTCAGGGTTTTAGGCCGTCGTAGACCATAATTATGTTACTGTCTATAAGTTAGAAAGTCGAAGGAGTTCTTTTCAATCCCCAAAATTTCGCGTGTTTATCGCACTAAACGCTAAACAACGTCCCTGCTATTTTGAATCGGCCCTGGTAAATCGGAAGTGTGCGACAAGAACAAACGGATTTTCAGGACAACCGCTATAGTTTCTCTCTCTTGACTGCAGCTCGACTACGTCAGTGGGGTTACGAGGTGGAATGGAAAAGTTGATGCTTGAGTTGAGATTTCGAGTAAAATTCCCCTGAGTATAAAACTGATGAGATTTTATTTTTTTTGTGCCTTAAGCAAGCCGCCTATGAAAAAACGTGGGTGCAAAACAGCAGGAAAAATGTTTTCCACAATAGTCCAAAAGCCTCAAGAAGTCACCGAAATTTCATCAACCGTCCACATTTGTTTAGACAAATCGGATTAAATCGTGATGAGATTTTGGTACAGACACCGTATTATTACTTAGCTAAAGAGGAAAATCTGAATGCAATTATGCTGTATTCGTAAATAGTGGCGAATAACGATTCACAATACTAATTTTTGGGGTAGGCTTATGGGCATCACGACAGCATAACCGTTACGATATTAATACAAAAGCTAGGGTTTGATAAAGTTCGTTCCTAAATGGCTCGTTATTACTAACATTTGATATATGTTTTAATCCTAGATTTGAATGATGGATGTTGGTGATATGACACGAGGTATTATTATCATCGTTACTTAATAGTATGGTCAGGCTTATCCACTGATGGGTTAATATGATTTAAGTTTAATTATTATTGTATATAGTAAATACTTATTAGAGCTGAGACCTTAAATCAGGCTTTATGTATGATGCACCTCAGCTATCAATGGAGTATATTATATATATATTTGCTTTCATATAGTTCTCGATACGGTAAATTAGAATTATCAAATCTTACATTACGGGTATAAAATACTCAGTATACACCTAGACACCCAAATTGTATAAGTATTGTTTGTAATTGCGCATTATTTGTCTCGAGTTCACCATTGTTGACTGATTACCAACAGTATATCTAAAAAATAATCGGAACTTGTGCGTTTTTTACCTTCACGGTTAACAGGTGTACGCTGATATGGCTATAGCATCTTACCCCAAAGTTATTCTTCAGATAAACTGCAAATCTATTTAGATGCTGGCATGATTGCCATTGTACAAGCACATGGAATTATCATATTTTATACCTACAAGTTGATTACATTTTATAAAGGTTCGTCTGTCGTATATACAGAATATAAAGAAGGAATACATTTAAATATTTCATTCGCTTAGTTGGAGAACTTACGAATGCCTGTTGGTGCTGTAGTGGCAGATTTCGTTAGTGGCTCTATTGATCTTCGTGTAGATCGGCTCTAATTTCACGCAGGAATCGTTCGCATTATTGAGCCGATTTTGGCTAATGTTGCCTGCTGCAATCAGTTTAACTCCATTTAAATGGGTTGGAATCGTGGTGTGAGGCCGATTAGGGTAAACGTTGCAACTGAAACCAACCAAAATGAGCAAATAAAGCACTCATTCATACAGGGTGATTCAAAATTGGTGTTATTTGTTTGGAAGTCTCACTGACTCTGGAGGAAAAAACAGAGACATTTACAAAAAAAAACAATAATAAATTCGGCCAACGACGATTTTTGCATTAAGATTATTTCAATGAGCAGCTTTATGAGTAAAAGAAAAGAATTTCTGCACTTCAATGCATAAGGAAGATTGTTATATCTTGGGACGCATGTACTTTGGGGCCAAACCCATAAACACTCTGTCTTTTGCCAAATTGCTATTTTTAGACATGTAAAAAGACTTTAGTATAAATACAGTAAGTACAAGATATGTACAGTGTCCCCCAACTTTCCCAATATTTCCCAAGTTTCGACTGTGAATATTTTCTTAGCCGGTGATCCGATTTCAACGATTTTTATATTGAATTATAGCTATATTATTGGACAACATTACGCAAAAAAATGAAGCAAATATTTTGTACAGAGTGTTTAAATACCGGCATGTTTTCTTGGCCAACGTTTAAATCTTTCTACGGGTCATCTGGTCCAGAAAGAAAAAGTATGCGATGTAGCCTTATGTCTTCTGAGTAAGTTCGATATTTAATCTTTTGTTCATCCTAAGCCATTCCGGAGATATTATTTTTTTATGACCGGACACATTTTCCGTCCAAAACTTACTTAAACTTTTTTTTATTTGCAAACAAAATTTCCGGAAAAACTGCTGTGCAAACAATATTTTATTACAAGTTAATAGACCTTTTTACTCTGTGCTTTGCCAATTAACTTGCAAATTTTTCGTTTTCCTAAGGATAAGATTTTTTTGTTTTCACGCTTAAGATGTTTGGTTCTCTTTATGGAGTGACATACGTAAGAAAGTAAACCAAGATTGATAGGTTCTAAGCTTGAAATCAAATTTGGTTATTACAGTTTTTTTTTTGAATTAAAAACTAATAAAGATTCATATTCCTCAGAAGACGGAAGGTTATAACACCGTAATTTTTTTCTGTCTGATCTACCCGATATTGCCCGCAGAAGAATTTAAACTTTTAACAAGAAAACATGACAGTATTTAAACACCCTGTACAATATTTTTAATATGTTTTTGCTTAGCTTATAGCTTAAATTGTGTCCAAGAATAGAGTTTCATTCGACAAAAAAATTGTTCAAATCGGATCACCGATTGAGAAAATATTCACACTAAAGAACAGATTGCAAGCTTTGACCAAGCAAGGCAGCAAAATCTTCTCAGACCCGAAATTATCAGAGTTTGATGAAAAACTGCATCTAGAGAACCTAAAGGAGGCAGAAAAGAGAAATAAATAGAAATTAGAGTTAGAAATAAATTAGTTAGAAGAATTATGCATGAAGAGGCAGGCCAGAAAGACTGGCAAAACTCTACAAGTGAACAAAGTTCTGGACAAAGCAACAATTTGCTGAAGAAGAAAGTATGAAAACAGAGCGTAAAAGTGTTAAGAAGAGATTTTGCATTAGTAGAATGGAACGCGAAGAATTAAGGAAAATAAGTTTTTAGTTGTTTTGATGAAAAATTACATCAAACAAGGGCATCAAACATCGAAAGAAAATTCCCAAAACCAGCAGTAGATACTTAGTGCTGGTCCAAAAAGACGAAGTCTTCACCATTGATTTTCTGTACTTCACTTCATCAGCATCAATTTCTTATCCCAACGTACAAGTGTCCCAAGATACAAAACCAAGAAATTCCTTAGGAATCCATTTGTGAAAGACCCTGTAGAGATTTTTTGGCTCAACAGTACCTATTCCCATTGGTTATTGGTTGGCCAATATTTCCAGACGTATGTTGAGGCAGTGGCATGGTTGAGCAATTGGAATACATGTTTTGGACGCTTGGTTGAGTGGGATAATGCGGCAAAGTGGCAGAAGAAGACTGGCTATGCATTCCTTTGGAATCCATAAACGAAGTCATCCGCATATTCGTGGCCCTACCATAAGGGTCTTCTTTCAATATTGCTTCTGCTACCTGGAATCATCCCCTTGAATCCCACGAACCCTCACAACCCTAATCGCTTACGCCCTCATTCGGATTGGGTCTCAACGACCTCCTTCTGATCACCACAGTGTCCTCTGGATTTGAGTCGGATGCTGCCTCCAAACTGATCAAGTTTCCGCCGTTGGAATCGAACTGAGGCTGGTTTGTAGGCTGTGGATTTGGGATTTAACAGATATCCTCTAATCTCGGGGTCTTTTACCTGTTTAACTACTGAAGTGTCGTTGCTTTCGTTTGAATGCACTCCGCTGGACGATTCGCTGTGGCTGCTGCCAGGAGGATCGGGAGGAGAAACTGAACACTCCGTACTCAATGAATCAGACCTTCCTGGCAGTTCTTCGTGGGCCAAAATGCCGGAATCTGCGCGGATAAGCCGGGCGGAATTAACCGAAGTGGATGGTTGCTGCAGATAAAACAATCAAACTCAGCAGCGAGTTTTGGGATTGATTTGCGCCGAGGTTTTACCTGTGGAAACTCTGTGTGGACCACTATGGGCTCCAGCAACGGATTGGAGTCTTTGTACATAACTGGAGGCGTGAAGTCTTGGCTAGTGCTTGCGTAGGTGATTTCCTCATCTTGCACACAAGCTAGAAGCTACAAAATGTTGCCGATATAAAACTCTTCATTCAATCCACATGCATTCTTACTTTTCCTTCTTCACTGATATTGTCGCCTGCACAGAATCTGGTTGCACTGGTGGCTGCCAGCGGCAACTCTCTAAGAGTGGCATAATCCCCATCATCTTCATCTAATCCGGGTATTGCACTATTCCTCACGTGCGATTTAGCCCTAAAAAACCCTCAAATTCTTCTGCTAGCTCTAAATCAGGGGGCTGAATAGTTGAGTGTTCGATCATGCAAAACTACACACGAAAAACATCGATAAAGAAGAACTAAGTTACCGATTATTGGACGTACTGGGAATCTGGTCAAATGCTAGTTTCTGTTTGGACTTCTTCCGGAACCAGTTCAGATATTTGGAGCGCTTTTGTGACTGCGAGGTGGCATCCAGAGTGGGTCGAAGCCAGTAGATGTCTTCGGTCGAATCTTCACTCACGGCCATTGAACCTAATAGCGATTTAAGGTGGATAAACCAAGTTATGAGTTTTGAGCTAAGTGCGTAGGTTTTGTTTGCAAAAAATAACGTTTACATACAGGATGTTCGGCGAATATGGGATCTTATTTAGTTCTGAAATGTTTCAGGTTTTACCAAAGAGGCTTTTATGTGCATTGCTTGCAAATTTGCCATACAAAATCTTAGAAAAACTGAATGTTCAGCTTTAAAAATAAGTGTACCCTTCCATTAACTTGACTTACTTTTATATTAAAAGGTCTGGAAACGAAGGCATCTTTTATTGAAAATGAGTAGGTTTATCTCCCTGCACTATAATATCGTGCCACGTTATTTATTTAAATTGTCCTTATGAATATTCTACATTTTCTACGTTTTTGTCCGTCGTATTGATGAATGTTCTTATGATTAATGGGCGGTTTCTGCAAACCCATTGTTTATTTTATCTCATGTCTTCCAGGCTTGAGAAAGACCCGAATCCAATGTAAAAAATTCGGCTATTTTGAGAGAATAAACAGAGTAGAATATTTTATGATTTAATTTATATAATAAACAGAGTTTAAAAAATATATTAACCATTATCGTGTTCGCATCCAAGGGCGGATCCAGGGGGGGTCATGGGGGTCATGACCCCCCTATTCAATTCTCTATCCAACGATGCCAAAACGAATTCTGTGGCTCTAATGGTTCTTGAGAAACTTCGAAAAAAGCAGCGTCATGTTCAAGTGGATTTTACAACTCAAAAAAAACCACGCAAATCTAAAACTTCTTGAATTCAAGCATTTTTTGAGAAAACTGCAACATTTCCTTATCGATGGTTCACTTTCTAAAGAAGCCATTTAGTTCTCTTTGGAATAATGTAAAAACGAGCGTTCTTGCTCATTTTGCTTCCGAGAAACATGCAAAACGGGACGGAAAACATGAAATTTTGCAATAATCTTAGGCCACCCTTGCACAAGACACACGATCATTTTTCTAATTTCATAGACAACAGAAGACTGTATTTTTTCTACTTAACCCCCCCTGAATTTAAACCTGGATACGCCCCTGTTAGAGATACCTCGTTTCAGTAGATACTAGTTTAAAATAAACTAGTCTTTAGCATCTACAACCTGTGTACTTTTAATAAATTGTTATGTGTTATAATAAAGAAAAAAGTTTAATGGGGTCAGTTTTAACTCTCTCTCTCGTCTGGCAACTTTTGCCTTATTTTACCGAACCTGTAACCCCTCCGGTTTAGAAGATAGCAAAAGTGGCTCTTAACAATTTGTCCACCCTATATAGAATATTAAAGTAATAAGGTTTACATAATATGATTTGTCCATTTTTATTTAAATTCCTCAAAATGCTGGAATTTTTCATTAAACTCGCAGCTTGCGTCAAAAG